CCCCCCCCCGACTCAAAGTAGCTAAAACCTTATAGAGTTGTGACTTTCACCTTTACTAGTGTACAATGATCACGACAATCAATGCCTGTGACAATGTTTAAAGACTAATAAGTGGCATTTACGGTGTATTTTCCCTAACAGGTGTGCTGGGTTCTTCTCTTTTTCAAATTTCTTGAGCCAGCAAAATGTGTGAAAATTATCGCATTTCCAGTGCGATTTTTTTTTATTACTCGCCCATGTGCACTAATACCCGTGAATCGCATTTTGGTCAGTATTGTATCGATTTGTATGAATTTTATTGCACATGGCATGACAGTGTCCTTCTCTGTTTTCGTGAGCCGGGCCGGTTAATTAGAGCGACAGGATGCAGGCGGCCGCTGCGTGAAGATGGTGAAGTCCCTCGCCTCGCCGGCCATATGGCTATCGGGAGGATGAAAGCGGCCCAAACGCTCACACGTCTTCGTCAGCTGCTGGCTGCTGCACTGAAAACAAAAATGTGCAACTGGCGTGTACATGACAGTGCTCAACTACTCTATGGTGCACAGTCTTGACTGTTGGACTAGCCAAGCAAAAAAGCCCGTTTGCAGAAATAGCATACCTAGGCTTTTTTTGCGTGAGACATTTGAGTCTTACAAGTGTTCAACAGTAAAGTACCTAAAGCTTCATGGTCAACCATCAAGTTCAACACTTTTAGCTAAGTCTCCAACTGTACTGTTTGACACTTTAGTTTACTAAAATATCCAGTCAAACAGTTAAAAGTGTGCAACGCAGTGTTGAGCAATTGCACGAGCACGCTAGTTGCACACTTTCTTTATCAGTGCGCTGGCCGTACGGCGAAGCTGTTTGACGCTCTGACTGCAAGCTCCTTCAGCAACATAGTGTTCCCCCGTTAAGTTATTTTGTTTGCGTTCAAGAAAGAGTAACACCGACGCAGCTCTTTTTTTGATTTGCGTGCGGCTGCTTTTTGCAAGGCCGATACGTTGCAGCAGACAAAAGATGCCGCCAAAATTTGGAAGTCAAAATGGGCTGTACCAAATGTTTGGACGGCGTAGGCCTTAAAGAGCTAAGAGTTTACAAGGGCGGCGTTGGCGCCTCGTCTCGGTGCGATTACCATTCCGCTCCTTCAAAGGACACGGATCGGATAAACACCCTGCTGCTGCTGCTGCTGCTGCTGCTCACCCCCACGAGGACTTTGTATTCATCGGCCCAGCTCCTCTAATTCCTCTCCCCATCCCCCTCCCCACC